ACCAGATTTGTAAACATTTTTTTTACACACCTTCAGAACAACCGAATCAAGCCCAGTTTTTTTGTGTGTGTATAGATAGATTATGTAGGAAAAGTCACAAAATCTTATACCACTCAGATAAAGGAAACCATTTTTTTTATTAAGGAAAAGTCGATTGGGGTCATATTGACCCCAAGGACCGATTGAGGGTTTTAGTTAGTTTTCTTCAAGTTATATCATCACAACAATAGGAGGCAACAAGTGACTTGTCTTTGGGTGATTTATTGGTTTGTTCAAAATCGCATAATCGTGTCTTGTAAAATATTTGGTAGCAGGTTAAATTGGTCAATTTTTTTTTCTCTTTTATTTTAGATTATGCGTCTCATTGTAATGGATGGGTAGACAACATCTTTGATCTAAAGCAGAAACAATCTCATGAGTGTAGTACATTTTATCACACACAGTGTGACTTTTCTCTAGTCTTTTCGCAGTTGTGGGAAATTTGACACACAAATAACTGGCAATTATCAAACTACTCTAAAGTGGCTGGTAACTGGTTTCTGTCTGAGACTGACAGGGCTGGCAATTTGTGTGAAACGTGTGGATTAAAACCACATGTTGGAGGTGCCGAGGGGTGTTGTATTGAGCAGCTGCTATGCCACCAAAATGAAGTAGCTGAGTCAAACCTTTGTGAGTTCTTGCGTGCCCAGAGGAAGATATTATTGCTTTGAGGTTGATCGTTCATACATTGTACATACATTTTTTTCACATCAGTCTACAGGCTATTCTTCATCATGTCAAATCCAAGCCCAGATTTATGATAACTTACCAAATATCTCTCTCTCTCTCTCTCTCTCTCTCTCTCTCTCTCTCTCTCTCTCTCTCTCTCTCTCTCTCTCTCTCTCTCTCTCTCTCTCTCTCTCTCTCTCTATATATATATATATATATATAATGTGAAATATATAATATCACATTGGCTTAAGTTTTTGGACCCTTTGTTTGGTCATCTTTGAGATGTTTTGACACTGTTATTGTCCATCTGTGTAAAGATCACACAGTTATACATTATACAGTAGCTTATATACAGTGGCTTGCGGAAGTATTCAAACCCCTTCATATTTATCATTTTGTTATTTTGCTGCCTTGTGATAAACTACTTTAAATTACTTTTTTCACATCAGTCTACACTCCATACAGCATAATGGCAAATTAAAAAGCAGATCTGTGACAACAGAAAGGAAAAACTGAAATTTAAGAGTTTAAACACTTATGCATAGTTAAAGCACCTTTTCAGCCTCAAGCCTTTTTGGGTATGATGTGACTAGCTTTCCTGCCATCCTTCTCCTCAGATCCTCTCAAGCACTGTCAGGTTGGATGGGGGCCTTTGGTGGACACTGAACTGCCATTTTCAGGTTACTCCAGTGTTCGATTAAGTTCAAGCCTCTGGCTGGGCCACTCAAGGACATTCACAAAGTTGCCCATAAACTACTCTTGCATTGTCTTAGCCTTGTGCTTAGGGTCATTGTCCTGTCAGAAGGCGAACATTTTGCTCAATCTGAGATTCTGAATGCTTTTTTTATTAGGCTAACTCTATATTTTGTGTCTTTTAAGCTTTCCTTCTATTCCAATGAGTTGCCAGTCCCTGCTGCTGAAGACACTCCCACAACATGATGCTCCTTCCACCACACTTTATTGTTTGGGATGGTGCTGTATTGTGCAGGTGATGAGCAGTGCCTGGTTTTCTCCATGTAGGCTTGCAACTGAGGTTCGCCAGGCCAGAGAATAATGTTTTGTCACATTCTGAGAGAGTCCTTTAGGTGCTTTTTTTAATTCCAAGTGGGTTTTCATGTTTCTTCACTGAGAAGAGGCTTTTATTCCTTCTGTAAATTTCTCGCATCTTCATAAATGATCATGCAGCTTAAGTAGAGTGACCATCAGCGCTCTAACCAAGACCCTCTTCCATCAGTTACTCAGTTTGGCTAAGAGGTCAGCTCTAGGAAGAGCCCTGGTTGTTCCAAACTTTGTTAATTTATCCCCTGTGCATCAATTAAAAAAAGTTATACTTCGGTACACAGTGGACAAAAATGTCTGTTTAAAAAAAACGTAACTGAAAAATGTGGAGCTTGGGAGCACAGACTTAAGCGTGTTCTCATTTTAAAGAAGACACTCAGATTATTGCTGAAGTAAAGAATTAATAAGTAAAAAAAGGTTTATGTTTATGAAACTGTATTTATGAACATTATTTTATATATATTACTTTATATATACTGTATTTTTTGAAACAACAAGTTAAAATCTAAAATGGCTAGAAAATCAAAGCCATAAATCTATACAAGTTGTCTTCCAAATTTGAGGTTAATATCTTTAAAAGGGTGTGAATACTTATGCAATGTAATTTCAGTTTTTTATTTTTATTAAATTTTCAAAGTTGTCACATCTATTTTTTGCTTAATCATTATGGTGGATGGAGTATTAATGGAGAAAAAATAAGTAATTTAAAGAAGTTTAACATAAAGGCAGCAACATAACAAAATGTGAAAAAATGAAGGGGTTTGAATACCTTCGCAAGCCGAAAGAATCTTAGATCTCTCAAAGACATAATGTATTTCTCACTTGTTTCATTTAAAGCATCAAGTTGGTCTCAGTTTTCCCCCCATGTCTCAGAGGAGACATAATGAACAAGAAATCAATTAAATGTCTTAAGATATGAAAGAAACATTTGGGAAAACTTAATGCTTGTTTGAATGTAAATTATAAATGAAATGATCAGGTTTGTCTAGTAGTAAAAGTAGCTACAGTACAAATTTAACTGCTGACATAGAGTTTAGAACTATATGTGCGTATAGACTGGTTGCCTTGTCATTTAAGAATTAAGTAGACGATTAGTGCGTCTGTCTTTTTGACCGTTATGTATTCAGATCTTTATTTTTTTTTTCAAGTGTCCTGCCACAAGATCATGTTTATTTTATTCAACTTCCTGTTGGTAAAGATGTTGAGATTTTGATTTAAAGAGTAACTAAACCCTAAACCAACTTTTTTTGGTTAATGATCTGTAAGAATGGATCTTTATTAATACCAGTCATTGATTCGAGTAACTTTTTTGACATTTGTGTATAAAGTGTTTTATTTTTCTACAATATATGGCGTAAAAACGCTTTGATGCTGCCCTCTTCAGGTTGAACAGTGGCTACTGCAGTTGAATTTTCCTATTGGATGTTAGCGGTTCTTCATGACGTAGGCATGTTTCAGCGCACCACACTCTTGATACGAGCCATGCCCTTGGCAGTATAAAAACCAGCTCGTTTTCGTCAAAACCACTGTAGCGAGTCAGGAATTGGAATTGCGAGTATTGAAAACGATCAGGATAGAGTATTTTAGCATCTATTTCGTCCCCTCTATCTCCGCTGGGATCTGCCCACTGTTTCAGCATTTTTCAAATATTGCCAGTGGGTGGAGTCAGCCTCTGACCAGGGGTTTAGTTACCCTTTAACTGATTTTTTTCAATAATTGATTTTATTTTATTATTTTTTATTATATTATATTTTACATTTTTTATTGTCACTTCCTCTCTTACAAGGAAGTTTGGATGATCCATCTGTATCCTGGTGTAGTTTTCACCTCTCTTTCACTTTCATGTGCTCTAGCTGTTCTTCAAATACGACAGTACTCCTCCCTCCCTTTCTACCTCTCTATACCTGTAGCTATGTCCTATTGCTCCTTTTAAACTCCCTATTTTTGGAGTTCAGTGATGTGAGAGTCATAAATACCAGCGAGGGGTCTTTTGGGATGGTGTATTTTCTGCAGCAATGACAAGAACGCGGGCGGCTAATCAGAGCGGCTCTTATCTGAAGCTGCTCAGCGCCCGACACGGAACAGAGGAATGTGGCCAACTAAGGGGGTTAGAGATTGCTGAATTCCATGCAGAGGAATTACATGGAGATGAGCTGTAATGCAAGGGTTGATTTTTATTGGGCCTGTTGGGGGCAGACTGTGAATATTTGGCTTCTAGGTAGGGATGGGCCATGAGTTTGTAGTTTTTTTTTTTTTTAAATTATTCAAATCTTAATGTCCTGATTTGGGAGGTGTATATATATATATATATATATATATATATATATATATATGAAGAGTTCAGATGCAAAAACCTCTAAGTGCCATTTGAAATTTTCTTCTAGAATGATAATTTTTATCAAGCTTGTATATTTAAGTTCAGTGATTTCACTTAAATGGCAATGATAATTACCTATTAATTGTTAATTAAGTGAAATTACTGAACTTAAATATACAAGTTTGATAAAAATCATCATTAAAGAAGAAAATTTCAAATGGCATTTAGAGGCTTTTGCATCTGAACTCTTCATATATATATATATATACAGTATATACGTGTGTGTGTGTGTGAATATATAAATGTATTTATATATTTATGTATTTACATCTTCAAATTCAAATGTTTGAAATATAAACAGTAAAAAGTAGTCAGACATCAACACGCTTGAGTAACTGCTGACCTCTGGAATAAGCATTTTACTATGCAAATCACCTCCACTGATGCTGATTGGTCTAACCTACGTGTCACCGACTTACGGGATGTGACAAAATGTTCCAGAGAATTGTCAAGTAGTGTGTGGCCGCAGCATATTCTCAGATGAGTCGTCCCCCGAGTCACTATACCATTCATCAGAACAGCGCTGCAGATTTGAGCTGATTATCAGATGCTCTGTGTAAATATCACAAGTGTCAGAAATGCTTGCCGTTGAACATCTCAAAATGCGTTAAGATGCATTTAGGTCAGCTCTGGAATTAATTTGTCACCAAATTAAGCATTTGTGGTTGGATTTCATCACGTTTTGCCTTTTTCCTTTCTCATTTGAGTCATCATCCAGGTTTATGTGGGTTGAGTGAATTTAAGGGACTTCCCCCACCTTTAGAGAATGGTATCAATTCCTGTTTGTAATTTTGCTGATCTTAATATGCACTTGTGTGTCTCTCTTTTCTTTTTTACTCATTTTGTATTTCAGATTGAGCTGGCTGCACCGTAACCAATGGTTCCGCCCCGTGTTCCCTTTTCTGAATTCTGATTGGAACAATGGAATGTCAATCTCATCCAAACAAGTGACTGTGGTATGTTATCTTCAGTTTTCTTCCTTGAAACCACACGGGTTAATATTATCTGCTGTGCTGCGTCTTTTTTTTAATAACAATGTACGTATTTCACTACTCCCGGATGATTTTTTCATATCTAAGAAGACTTGATGCCTTCTTTTTTCACATGCACTTAAATTTAATATCAACTTTGTCTCAGACGTTTCTCATAAAATTGCCTCGGAAAAATATAAATGTAAACAAATAAAACATTTGTTGACATAGTGTTTAGTTTTGGAAGAATTTGAAGAAAGAACAGAAATTGACACATTAAAGAGATCTCCTGTGTCTATGAGAAAAGTCATCTTGAAACCCTGAACTTTCTCAATATATATATATATATATATATATATATATATGTCGTGGCTGGGTTTTTTTTTCTACTGAATGGTTGATGCTTCATCACATTTGCCTTTGCCTCACTTTTTTTTGTTACTGTCCGTTCACACTTGCGCTTTGGCGTCGTTCACGAGCCTTCCTGTCTTTTTCACTTTGCAGCTTCGTGTGAGCGTGCTTGTATATTTGCGACTGTCAGAACACTTTTCTGCGCTGTAGAACTGGCACGGTGCCAGTCTCTGCCTTTGCCCCTGATCAGAAGCAAACGTGACATTTGTGCCGAGGTAATGGAATCCTTGCACAATTAAATCCCCGACTGCGAGGTGAAGTCGCTCCTTCCATCCCTCCATCCTTCTCCTTTCCTTTAATCCGCAGGAGGGACGGCTGTGATGATGAGACCTTCTCAGCACGCCGTCCCTCTCTTTTGCTCTCCGTGCCACTTTTTGTTTTTAACTTCTCCACATAAACATCCCTCTGCCTGGCAATTAATTACCACAAATGTCAATTAACCCCCTCCTTCCAAAAAATAATATCGTAGGAGAATTACATTTCAATTATAAAAATTACGTTGGAAGGCGGCAACGTTAAATTGCTTTAATGAATTGTGCTGAAGGTGACAGTTGTTATTTTGCAGCCCGTCGTGGCGGGAGACCTTCCGCCTGCTCTGATACAATGTGAAGTGGAGGATGAATAGAGGAAAACAGAAGGATGGGAATGAAATGAGTGTTGAGAGGAACAGAGAGGACGTATTTCCTGCAGTTACGGCTGTACGTAATGCCTCATTTGTGGGATACAGCAGGCAATGGCGTGAATCATTGTTCTGTGCCAGCGAGAGAAAGCACTTAGGGGTCTCTCTCTCTCTCTCTCATTCTCTCTCTTCCTCCCTTCCTTATTTGACTTGCACAACTGCTGATGGTGCATTTGCCCACCGGTTTTGCTCCAGGACCGTTCCTCCATACGTTATCATATTTAAAGAAGTAGTTCATGCAAAAATGCAAAATTCTTTCATTATTTACTCACCTTTATGTTGTTCCAAACCTGTGTGCTTTTTTTTTCTTTTCTTGATTCTTCTGGTTGTTCTTTCCCATGCAAATAGTTCACATGGGGACTGGTGGTTTCGAGTTTCAAAAAGGTCACAGAGAAAGGTGAAAGTATCAAAAGCATGGTCCATATGACTCACATGCTATATTGCAAGTCTTTTAAATTCTTACCATGGGTTTGTATGAGGAACAGATCAAAATAAGTTGTTTTTCACCAAAATGCTTCCTGTGCATTGAGCTGCTTTCCTTTTATGAGTTAAATTCGAGAAGTTTAGTTTGATTCATGAAGAAGTCATTTAGTCTTGTTCTGAGCGATAGATAAACCGATTCCTTCTCAAAGAATGATTCCTTTACAAATCGTGCAGTTGTTGTAGAGAGAGTTTTTTTATTTGTTTGCCAGACTATAAAATGGCTGAAAATATGCTTGAATTGTGACTTGGTTTTAACCTCTTTTTTTTATTTTTATTTTTTTATACATAAGTAAAAAAAGACCAGTTTAGTAACCACCTAGAACCCTGGTAGCTTCTAGGGGTGTGATGGTTCTTAGAAAAAAATTACACTGTTCTTCACCCACGGTTTGAATGCATTTGCATCGTGGTTCATCTCAAATCTAACGATGCATACGCATCTATAATACGGTTTGTTGAAAATAAAGTGTAAAACAGACAAGAGTTAGGCTGTTTCTGTCAAGTCAGGTCACCTTTATTTATATAGTGCTTTTTACAATACAGATTGTATCAAAGCAGCTTCACAGTGATAACATGAAAATAATACAACACAGATCAATAATATTGTTGGATTTTAATTGTCTCCAACTAAGCAAGCCAAAGGCAAGGCAACAGTGGCAAGGAACCAAAACTCCATCAGGTGGCTGAATGGAGAAAAAAACCTTGGGAGAACCCAGGCTCAGTCGGGGACCAGTTCTCCTCTGGCCAACGAAGGAACAGTGATTACAAAACGAATTGGATCGAAATGTTAAGAGAATTTGTCCATTTCCATCCGTTTGTAAGTCAAAGTAATCACGCTGGTTTGGAGACGAGATGTTGAGGATCAGTGCCGTTGGCTGTCGTGTCGATGAGCCCGGCACTTTAGGAGTTGGTATGGGTCCAGACGCAGGTCCACCATAGAGGTTCCCTCGGGATAAACAGAGAAACTGATATTAGCGTAGACGCCATCATTCTTTTGATTTACGGGACGTGTTCCCGGTTCTGTCGATGAATATGCTTTCTGTCTCATCCTTTGGATGAGACGTTAAACCGAGGTCCTGACTCGCTGTGGTCATTAAAAATCCCTGGATTTCCTTTGAAAAAAGAGTAGGGGTTTAACCCCTGCATCCTAGCCAAATTTTCCCATTTGCCTCTGTCCATCAAAATGGCCTCCTAATCATTCCCATATAAACTGATTTGCTTCATTAATCTGTCTCCTCTCTTCCAATAAGTTGGTGTGTGTTCTGGCTTAATATGGCTGCCGTTGCATCACCCAGGTGGAATGCTGCACATTGGTGGTGGTTTAGGAGATTCCCCTGTAAAACACTTTGAGTACTGAGAAAAGAGCTATATAAATGTAATTAAAGGGTTAGTTCACCCAAAAATGAAAATTAAGTCATTAATTACTCACCCCCATGCTGTTCCAACCCCGTAAGACCTTCGTTCATCTTTGGAACACAAATAAAGATATTTTTGATTGAATCTGAGAGCTAGATCAGTCCTACATAGACTGTCTAAGGGACTGGCTCTTGACGGCCCATAAAGTCATTAAAGAAAAGGTTTAAATATTCCATGTGCCTACAGCGGCTCAATTATAAGTTTATCAAGCGACGAGACTACTTTTTGTGCGAAAAAAACATAAATAACGACTTTATTCCACTATTCCATTACTTCCTTATGGGCGCATGCGCGAGAACTGAGACGAGGACGTTCTCATTCGTCTACTTCTTGTTACCGGCTGCTCACCGCTTAGGAGTTTTACCGCCACCTACCGTATAAAATGATGATCCATATATAAGGCGCTCCGGATTATAAGGAACACTGTCGTTTTTTGTGAAGATTAAAGGCTTTTAAGTGCACCTTATAGTGCTGAAAATACGCTAATTGAAACGCGTATGTACAGCGCGCATCTTCCTCTGCTTGTAAACAGAAAGTTTTGCGCTTCCAGCTATATCAGCACATCATCTTATACGGTAGGGGGGCGGTAAAACTCCTAAGCGGTGAGCAGCCGGTAACAAGAAGTAGACGAATGAGAACGTCCTCGTCTCAGTTCTCGCGCATGCGCCCATAAGGAAGTAATGGAATAGTGGAATAAAGTAGTTATTTATGTTTTTTTTCGCACAAAAAGTAGTCTCGTCGCTTGATAAACTTATAATTGAGCCGCTGTAGGCACATGGAATATTTAAACCTTTTCTTTGATGACTTTATGGGCCGTCAAGAGCCAGTCCCTTAGGCATTCTATGTAGGACTGATCTAGCTCTCAGATTCAATCAAAAATATCTTTATTTGTATTCCGAAGATGAACGAAGGTCTTACGGGGTTGGTACAGCATGGGGGTGAGTAATTAATGACTTAATTTTCATTTTTGGGTGAACTAACCCTTTAACTAATTCCCCATAAACCTTGTTTATTTGTGAGTACCACATTCTGTAATATGACATTTACGCCGTCATCATTACCCTAGGTGTTGATAGCACGCGAGTGCAGGTTAAGACCTGAACAGCACACATTGCTAACTATGTTTAACCAAAATTTTTATTTAAGCCTGGCCCATTTAAAAATTCAAGGACAAGACGTCAAAGAGAACACTGGTGCGCTGTAGGAAGATTTGTACGTGCACTCAGATCTCGGACAGCGCAGAAATATCGAGTTTAGAACACAGAAATTATTTCCAGTCTTGTCGAGTATCCTTGCAAACATAGGTTATGTCTTAAGTGAACGTAAACAGTCGAGAAAGACAAAAAATGTGTACATTATATCTCAGTGAGAGCAGCCTAATATTCCTGCTGTCTGTGTTTTTAATGTTATAAGACAGCAAAAGACTGAATAGCTTTTTAACTTTAATAATGATAAATCTTTATTTAATTAATACAGTGAAGATTATCTGCAATGTTGGTTTACATTTGATTACTTCAATTTCTGTACCTGAAAAGATACTGTTAGATACCCGAAAAAGCTGTTTATTTTATTTGTATCAATGATCTATTGTATTTAATAAAAAAAAAAAATTACAGTTGTAGTCCTTTTTCCCCTGAACACAGCACAGCAGAGACCGTACCAAAACCATGACCCTAAAATCGCGATTAAAAACTGAACCGTGAGTTATTTGAACTGTTACACCTCTAGTAACTACCTAGCAACCACTCATGTTGGAAAACACAGCTCTCATTCTCTTCAGAAAATGTAAAAAGTTAGTTACTACATTTCTCATTATTTGTTTAGTAACTCGTTACTAAAATGAATCACATGCTGTAATTTCTCACCATAATTCATTGTAACTTGTGTTGAGTTGAAGGTTAATTTGAAGCAATCAAAAATGGATGTTACCATTTCCTCATCTTTTCTGGCTAATAAACCTTGGACAATCTCATCATATACCCCTGCACTTGAGTTGGAC